TCACTAAAGATAGAAGTATCCTCCAGATCCACACACATGCTTTGCAGACACTAGGGACTGAGATTTATGAGTATCCAGCACATCCTCTGCAATCCTTCTATAAGCTGTTTCCATCTGCTAGAAGACGGATGTTTCCACTGGCAAAAACAAAGCTGTTTTAAATCTCAACAACAAAGGATACCTTAAATAGACACACATTGTTGTTTATGTTTTTTTTATTATTTTATGATTAAACTTATTTTATGATTTAACTTTCTGAAGATATCAATCTACTTATATCTATATTTGTTTTTGTTTTTTGCTCGATTTCAGAGACATATCTCCATCCTGTGATCTAGCTTGTATAAAAATAGCGGTTTTCTTTTTTCTTCGACATTTCAGAGCTTTCAGTTCATCCAGTTATTAATGTTTCATCTTAATTTGCGATTAAAACTCCTTCCTCCATACATCTGACCCACATATCAGATTCACTGCTGTGCCAATATTATTTTCAGACATTAAGAAAGCTTCAGGTTTTGATGTGGAGGTGATATGAATCAAGATTTAACAAATTTTTTATTTGATCCAACTTTAATTTTGTTTTGTTTGTTGTCTCCCATGAAAATCAAATGGGAGTCTATTGGTTAAATGGTACCAGAAATACGCAATTTAAAGTTCTCTAGTTCAGTTCAAATGCCGATTTATAATCTCCTCCTTTGCTTGTTTCCTATTGATGCTACATATTAGGTCTAGAGGAACTGGAAAGCTGTAACAAAGAGACTTTTAACTTTTTCAGCAATGTATGCTCCTTAGATTAGATATATTTGCAGCATATCTTAATGTTAGAGATTGACTTTAATTCCTACATAGATAATATTTGTGCTTCTTATTCTCCTTTTTTTAGTTTTAATAAACTCTATAACCTGGAAAGCCTTGTTGATCAATGATGTGCAGCATTGTGGTGTTTGGGAACTCACAAATACAGCAAAGGTTCTGCTTGCATAAAAGGTTACATATTCTGTGCACTGTGAAGCAATAGTACTAGATTTATCGATAGGTGTCTCACTAAGTAATCAAATGTTTATCCTATAAAAGAAATTCATTTGAATTGGTGTTAATTTCCCAAACAAAGTTATATATTAATTAATTTCTATTTTGCAATTTTTTTTGTCATGGATACTGTATATCTGTTAATATTTAGGTGTTCATCTATTTTTATTGAATATTTTCCATTGCAGTTTTTTTATATTGCATATTTTTTTCTGTAACTTTATTCAATTTCTTTGTTTTTTTAGATTTTCCTTGATAAGGTTTATTCTACTTTAGTTTTTTGGTTCAGTTTTTTTTTTTTTTTTATATTAATACATGGTTATGGAAATCTCTGTGTTTACACCTTGAAGCTTTCTCTCTCTTCTTGTTTCTTTTCTTGGGAAGAGATCCGTGGAGATAAACTCTTCAAATAGCACTTTATAACGTATATGTATTAAATAACCATGAGACATGACAACAGATTTAGACAGAAATTATAATCTTACTCAGTTGGGAGACGTTTCTTAGAGGATGCGCTTACCAACTGTGCTCACATCTCGTGAAGTGGCCCAGATTCACAGTTAAGGAAAAATCTTATACATCTCCAGTCTTTTCACATCATCACATCATTACCTCATACATATTTATAAATTAGTAAACATCCATGTGTTCTTAGATCAAGGACACTGCTCTAATAACATTCCCAAATCTTTGCCACATGCATAATAACGACAGGGCTGCTAACTTTTCACCAAACCTTGGAGTGAGATTTTGAAATAGTTTGGATATGCCACCCTTGTCAGGGTTAGATTGAAAGGCTATGAGGAAAAGTGCAGCTATCAGTGCAATGAAATCCAGTGCAAACTAGTCTGAGTATGAATATTTGGTAATAGGCTGAGGATTAAAAAAATCTTAACTCATTATCTTATTAGTTTTTCTTACAATTGACAAAACAGCTAAACAATTCAGACCTTCTAGGAGGCTGTAGATGGCTGCAACAAAGATTATTTT